ATAGACTGAATCATGATTACAGAGGCTTTGTGAATTATTACAGAGGCTAGGTGTATGCCATTCGGTCAAGATTGCTCTCAGTGAATTATTATGGTGGAAGTTGATTCAGAGGCTTTGTGAGTTTGCTCTTCCATACAAATGGAGTGGCATGCAGCTCCTTCAACATCTTCTGTTTGAAACCTTCTAAGACAGATGATCACCCCAGTGCAGCTCTTCTATATCCAGTCCTGACCTGGGGAGACTATCAGCTTATGAGTTGGTACATCTCCAAATCCAAGAGATAGAGATGATTTTTACTAGCCAAAGATCTACACTTTTGCAAGTGGTGCCATAACTACCAAGGGTCCTCTTTATTTCCCCTCGTCAGTCCAACCACTACTTGTGAATCTCCTTCAATTTCTAACTTAACTCCAATTAGAAAAGCAACCTCAGTTCTTGTGTTAATTCTAATATTTCACCATAATAGCTGCTTCAACACCTATTGGTCCAGAGAAAACAAGAAAAATCCTTCACTATATCTAAATACACCTCCTATCCCTGATTGCTTAAATAAATACTCTTCTATGTATTTAGCAATAAACTATTAGATCTCATTGTTGACCAAAAACTGAAGTAATAAATAATAAAGGAAATATGAACAACAAAATACCACATTGATCAGTACATGAGATAAGACCATCTACAGCACCAACAAGGTCTAGAAGATCTAGGGGCAGGTGAAAAAATGCATGGGTTGAAGTAGTAAGAAATGATTTAAGGGCCCATAATAGGTTAATAATGAACATGATATTGAACAATGTGAATTGGTGGAATAGGACTCATGTAGCCAACTCTACCAATGCAACCACAAAAGTAGAGAAAGAAGCTTTGGAATAAAGAAGATCCTTCATATTCTTGAATCAATCACAACTTCGTAATTTTTGGGTTATAGATTTCAATATTTTTTGTTTCTTGGTATCTAAACAGGGGTATTTCGGGTCTTACAGAAATTTATTCCTAGTAAAAATCAAATTGTTATTTATAGTAACATTAAGACTTACTATTTGCTGTAATCCCTAAAGCTTCTATTTATAATAAAATTGTTATTTGATATTTTTAGTAATTTCTGGTGTCTTTACAATAAGTTAGTTGCAGTACAATTAGATAGCTCTATTAGAGTTATTTTAGGAATTAGAGTCCTTGATTGAGCATCCTCATGGGTTACTCATTGTCATCGGTTGCCTTAGTTATAAAGTAGTTAGAATTTATTTTAGGTCAGCTTCCTAGTTGAAAAGGGATATCTGAGACCTCATGTTTAGTCTATAAATAGGATCAATGTTTTAAAAACCGACTCGGAAACAGAACCGCTTTTGGACACTGGTTTCCGGGTCAGCAGTTCAACCATCCAGTCCGCACGGATCAGCCTGAGTAACATAAGAATGCCCAGACCCCAGAAACCATTGTCTAAGTCAAACGGGTCAATGGTTCAACCACCTGGGTCAGCAGGTCACTAACCAATACAACAGTTTTGGGGAAAATAGCGGTTCGAGGGTGAAACGGAATCAGTACCCTGACCAGCTTCTAGACCAAACAGTCCAATCATCCGGGTCAATAACGGCTTGAAAACCTTGAATAGGATCATTTTAATTGAAAATTCAGAGTAGATTTAATGGAATGAAAAGTTTATTTTTATTTCCTCTCTTTTTTCTTCTGAAGTGCATTACTTCTTCTGTCTCTTCTCTATCACTATCCAGATCTGAGTCTCTTCCTCTCATAATTCAGATCCTTAATTCTCCCACTTCTTCCCACCGCATATTACCCATATAGTAGGGTTGAATTGAGTTGAGTTCAGTATAATCTTCTCAACAAAGAGAATTATCTTTTTATTTTCTTTTTTGTAGGTAGAAAAAAAAATGAAATTTTGGGAGGGAAGCCCATTTACAAAATACAAGTACAGAAATAACTAACAAACATACAAGTATAATCACCCCAGCACCAAAAACTGGTCAGCTGTGCATAAAGAGTAAATATATCTGTATTAGTAATTAAATAACAACTTTCCATGGTTCATACAGAGTACAGAAGCCCTATGACTTAAAAGAAGGCAGTCATGGCAGCCCAAGCTCATATTGAGAGCTCTCTTTACCAAAGAATACAGAAGTCTTAACCATAAATAATTTTTCCAAACTAGAGAGCTCATATTGAAGCACCATTAAGCCTTGATCTATAAGAACTGTCCTTTATAAGCAACTTGGAAAAGAAGTCAACCACTAATTTTTCTAAACTAGAGACATTGTAATATAGCCATCCATTGTAATCCTTGAAATGGAACTAAATCTCCTAACAAGCATGAATAGGTAAGTTTATAATCTTGGTGCACTCCTTCAACCAAATCCCACACTGCTGTCTCCATGATATCTCCTCTTTATTTGATATGACCATCTCCTTAAAATCTTCCTTGGCCTCCGATTTCACCACTTAAATCCCCCTTAAGTAAAGGATCCACTTCATTCTATTTATTAGTAAATAGTAGATACAGTAAGATGGAATATTTTTCTTGTTCTTTACCCTCCTAACATCACGTTATTCCATTTTTTTTATCAGTATCACGTTATTCCATTTTTCTCTAAATTTCCTTTTAATCACTTTGAGTTTCCCACAAGGCCACAACACATTCAGTTTAATAAAGTTTCACAGTTATCCACAAAATAAAAGTTTCCTAAAATACATATATCTAGTTTTTTTCTTTAAATAAAAGTATCTCCACCAATTTCTGAAAAATTCCATAAAGTCAGGTACATCTGTCCCCATAATTTAAATTTAAATACAAGTAGCCTTCTTGACCTCTTTTCACAGTCCAAAACAATAAGTAAATGATCTGAACTGGACCTTGCAAAGCCACTTGCATAGTTGCATGACCAATTTGTACCAACATTCCAGATTGGATGGGATACAGATTCAATCCAACTTACTAATGAAGGGGTTATAATAGTTAATTAATAAAGTAAACTTCCCAACCTAAAAGGAAAATCTACCAACAGGTTTCCCATCGCCAAAGTCTGCAACATCCTTCATACAAGAAACTGTCCTTCTGCCCCCTTTCAATTCAAGTAGTGGACGATACTAAACTCCCCTAGAATGCATCAACTAACCCTTTAAGAATTAATGACACCTTTAGCTTCTCCGAAAAAAAGATTGATGAGATGTAACTATTCAGACCATAAATCCAGAAGTTCTACTAGATTTATAAACCACATTTTTTAACTAGATGAAAATTAAAATGACATTTTATGCTCATTTCATCTAGATATCATCACTACCCCCCCCCCAAAAAAAAAAGGGTCAAGATCTTCATTCATTATTCTATTTTTCCCTTAGTATTCATAATTCTCACCTTTCACCTCACAATTAAACTTATAAGGTTAAAAAAAAATGATGATGGCTCTTCTAATGTGTTTCCTTTGGTAGCTTGCAAAATCTCAAAGTCAGTGGAAGTATGAAGATTTGGAAATATCTTATCCCCATTCCTCATACCTAGACCATGAGAATAATGAGAATTTGTTTCTGAGATTCAACATTCATGTTGAGGGTTGATGAAAGAAAGGTTCAGTGTTGAACTGTTAAACCAGACCACTTGGGGGACCAATTTGAAAATTAAAACAGGTCAACCATCCATACCTATCTGGTTTTTTAAAACAAAAGAACGCTTCGGTAAGAAGAGATAGATGCAATCTCAAACCTCAGACATGCACGGACTATGTAACCAAGAATACAGCATAAATTCTCATATAGTGACTTTAAGTGATACAAACTGAAAAAAAAAAAAATACAATAGAACTGTTAGACAACAAACATATCACTCAAAACTGAAAAATACAATAGAACTGTTCTTAGAGCAATTATATAGCGATAAGCTTCCTCCTTTGTAATTTGTAGGGGTTCTTCCCCTGCTTTGTACATCTTCTCATGTACCTCTTTTTCTCTTAATGAATCTTGGTTAACTTTTCTAAAAAAAAAAAACAAAAACTGAAAATCATTGGCTCCTCTATAGTATTCCCCCTTTACTTGCATAGCTGTGGAAAGTCATTGTTATGTATTGACTAATAACTTATCATTTAACTGGTGGTCAACAGGAGAGAGTTTTCAAAGTGGGAGTTCAAACTCCTTTTTTTTTATAATTGAAAATGGTTCCAGAGTTCAAACTCCATTTTAAGTATCTGCAACTACTGAGAGTCCTATACAGCTTATGCCAACCTATGTTCCAAGTCTATGGGATCAGGAACACCATTCCACTGCTTGACCTGAAAACAAACAAGCTGCTTGGAATGCTAAATAAACAAAGAACAATGCCCAATAAGATTGGGCACTTTGAGAAAATAATAGACCCAGAGATAGCATAGACAAGATACATAAGAAGGTGATGAAGATAAAAACCCAGAAGCCTATCAATGTTCTGTTTCGCTCTAGCATAAGAAGATCAATCCAGAAATAGGACGACGGAGATGAAACGCCAAGAAAACACTACTCAGATGCAGGTGTTTCTTTTAAGCTTTTGCTCTTTAACATGTTCTTTTGTTGTTTTATATGTGCCGAACAATAGAAGCACCACCACCAGCAACAAAAACAATCCTTCAGAAGAATTTTTAAGAAATGAAACAACCTATCCATAGCCATCTCTGCCCCTCCTCACACCACAGATAGATAATCCAAATTTGAACATAATAATTCTAAAGGATTAAGAAATCGGATAACTGAAAGAAATGATCGAGCAAATTCCATTTTTCTCTACTGATCAAAAAAAAAAAGTTCCGTTTTTTTCTCCCTTTCCATCTCAGTTATCACAAAAATATAGAAAAAAAAAAAACAGTTGAATAGAAAGACTAAGAAATAACTCAATAATCAAAAACAGGAACAGATGTTAAAAACAAGGAGTATTAATTAAATTAACATGCTCAAAAAAAAAGCAAATAGAATGAAAAATCAGCATCGAATATCAGAAAAAAGAAAGAGAAAAGGGGAACCTGGTCTTTGGCCTCATCAGAAGCAACAGAAATAGAAGCGGCGACGGACGCCCCTGCAGACCTCACGGTGGAAGCAACGGTACTGGCATTCGTGGAGACCGTCTTCAAGCAAGAGGAAATAATCCGAAGAGAATTGGGCAACAAACCGTTACTCCTCCCCTTTCCCTTCCTCATCGTCCCCGCTGGGTCGCAAACCGCCGCTCGCAGTCCGACTCGACCACTCAGAAGGAACCCCACCACCACCCTCCGTCGACATCACCACTGCAGCCGCTGCCGCCGACCATCTCTGACGACCCACGATTCCCAATACCATCCGATTGCACGATCAAACTGAATCCGACAGACACAATAAACCAATATGGTTTTCTCCTTCTCCAATCTCCAATCTCTCCCCTCCTCCTCCTCTCTCCTCTTTGAAATCGCTGTTCCCAGCTTCTTTGGGTCGTATAATGTTTCTTTTTTGGGTTCGGAGTATTTTGACTTGGATTGGAAGGGGCCGCTACCGCTACGTCTCTCTCTCTCTCCTCCCTCAGACTGATGAGCGCCTGTTGTTTGCGCTGTAAGTTAAGTAAAAATTTTATTTCTTTGTTAGTTGTTGTTAGCTTTTAAATTCCAAAATTTAGAAATTAGAAATAAAATCAGTCAAAATGGAGAAAATAAACACAAAAATAATATATTACAAATACATCACACGCAATTGGAAATACCTTTACGAAATGCCCAAGTAAGCTTATATATACTACGACAAGAGAGAGAAACCCAACAGAAACCAATGATTCATGGATTCCTTATTTTTAAAATAAAAGTATTAACTCAATATCTCAGTTTCACTCACACCATCTTGTTAATTAAACAGAGGAGAGAGAGAGAGAGAAGAAGCCATGAAAGGGCCTCCTTTCAGTCTCCTGCTCGGCTCCTACCCACCCACCAACCACAGTAATGAGTTTAACAGCTAACGAGTTTTGTTGAAGTGAAATTCACAGATGCGAATCCATTCCATCGAAATTCCCAGTTTATTCTTTCTCAACATGGCATCATGCTGGTTGTACTTGGGTCCCCACCTTCTGGGTAATATCATAACCGTCCAAATGGGCTCAGAAAGGACAAGGACGTAAGAACATTTTCATCATGGCCATGGATCGGATGGGTGTGGACTGGTTTTGGCCTTTTGGGTGGGTCAGACAGATGGGGTTGTGGATGTGGTGGGTCCTGTGGGCATTGTGGGATCCACGTGCTATCGAATCCAATAAGGATGTTATTGTTGGGTATCTAAATCTGATCCGGTGGATCGAATTCTTTCATATTGAATAGGGTGATTTAAATGTAACCCAACTTTTAATCAGATCCTATTATCCAATGTTTTAAAAACTGATCCAAAACCAAAACCCCTTTGGCCACCGGTTTCTAGGTTTGCAATTTGATCACTCATAGAAGTGGATTTGAATTGAATTGAGCCGAGTCGAATATCTAGCTATTCATGTTCGGCTTGCTAATAAATTATCAATATATATATAAATTCGATTTTGACCGAATCAAGCTAAGCTTTTTACAAGCCAAATTCGAACAACTTGTGAAAAATTCGACTCATAACCACCCTTAACCATTCGGTTCAAATGGATAACCCATTTTAAATTAAAAAATAATAATAATTAAAATAAGAAACAACAAAAAAAAATCATTATTCGTTGAATGAGTCAATAATTCAACCGCTTAGCTCAATGGATCGCTAAGTCAAAAGTTTTTTACCAAAGAACGGATTAAGATGAAACGGAACCGGTTGCCTAGATGCTATCCGGACCGAATGATCCAACCATCAAAAAAATGACAATTCGAAAACACTGCTATTATCCATTCCAATTCAAAAACCGAACACAGGAGATATCCGGATCCAACAGATTGGAATTCAGATGATCATCCGAACCATCCATTTGCACTGTTAACAGAGAGGAACAAGGTTTCGAAGGGTGAAGCAGGCAAGGCCAACGTCAATCCCGCAAGCGGTGCGCTTGGCTTAACAACTTTTCTCAGTCTTTCGTCTTTGGTCTTTATTCTTGACTCTTGAGGATGAGAGATTGCTTTTGGATTGAAATTTTGAAAGTGAGAGAGAGAGAGAGAGAGAGAGTGGGAATATTGAAAACGGATATAACTTTGGGTTGGTTAGGGGCCTTGGGCGACTTCGCGGAGCCGTGGTTGCGTGCCGACAGGAAAGCAGGTGGTGAGACACGGCACCACCACCGCTAAGAAGAGTAGTTTCGTCTTTTGTTGTGTAAATTGTAATGTGAGTTTAGCCCCGATAAGGGTGACGTGCTATACGCCAAACCTGTAGGTTGTAGTTATCGGATTAGGCGGTGTTGGTAGGGAATTCCGGGCCAGACCCCATTAGCCAACACCCACACAGCCTGCAAATTCTACCATCCATCGACCTCGGTTTACTCATACAATGTTTTAAAAACCGATTCTGGGGCTGAATCATTTTTGCTTCTGGGTCGTGGGTTCAATCATCTAGGTTAAAATAGTAGAGTAGGGGTATCAATAGACCAGATTTTTGGACTGGACCCGTCCAAACCAAAATCAATTTGAATGAACCAAACAGACATGTTGAATTGGACCAGTCCAAACTTAATGTTCCAAAGTATTTATTATATTGGACTGGACCTGGTCCATTCGTAAAGAATTTATATTGGATTGGACCTGATCTATTATTAATGGATTCATATTTGACTGGATTGGTTTGGACGAAATCCAGTCCAATTAACACCCCTAGGGTGAGACTGTGATACATTAATATGTATGTATAAATATATTTATATGTGTAATATGTATTTTGTCAAATAAATTATGTATAACTATATTTACATGTAATATACATATATGTATATACATGTATCAATTTTTAATTTTGTTATTTATAAAAATGCTAAAAATAGGATTTAAAGTAAAAAAAAAAAGGATTTTTTATAAAAATATAAGGATTTTAAAAACTTACCCGAAATCGATATAAAGATCATCCCAATCTAACAATCTTTTTGTTTTTTTTGAAAGCCCCAATTTAACAATCGAATGCAAAGCTTAAGGCCTTCAGAAGTTTGTGTGCAACTCATAACTTGTTGACCGGGCAAAGAGGTTAACGATTCAATCACCTGAGTCAGACGATTTTTTTTACCAAACTCTGGGTTAAAAAAAAAAGAAAAAGAAAAAAAACACCAATACAGAATCGTGGACGTGTGGTTTGAAAAATTCAACCGTCCGGATCAAGGATGGGTTGAAAAATTAAACATTGGGCCATACGCACATCACATTGAAAGAGAGATGATGTAGGTCAAGTTAAATACATTCTCATGGGTAGGCCTCTCAAGTCTCAGCTATGAAGGTTCGGTGGTATAATTTTTCTCTTATATGTCCCAAGCTAATAAAATCAACTAAAAAAATCAAACTGTACCGAACGAATGAACCGTTCAACCCAAAATTCGATGATGGTTCTAGGTCTGGCTTAATTGTACTGTTTTTTAAAAAGAACGTTAAATAAGGGCCCATTTGGTATATTTTTTTGGAAAGATCTTTTGATAGTTTTAACGGTCAAAAGACGCATTGATTTTTTGTATGAAGATTTAAGCAGTTCGAAGTATGTTTGGCAGGCGTTGGTCTTTTTGCACAAGGATAAAACGCGAAAGACGCGATAAACTTTATTTGAAGCTTCCAAAAATCAGCTCAAAATGGGTTTTCACGTCTTTTTGACATTCATCTTTGAACGGCTAGATTTTTTATGCGTCAAACGAGAATAGACCAAAAATCGATCTTCCTAACTTGTAAACAGCCAAAAAACTATACAGAAATACGCATCAAACGCAATCTTAATAAAAAAACTGATCGCCAAAACAGTTGTGTTTCATGATCGATTTTTGCAAATTACTATCCCAAGTCTCAATTATGTGAAATCACCTAGCTTAAGCATTCCATTTGTAAACTGTTATATCTGCTCAGGTTATTTGTAGGATATGGAGTTATGGGCATAGGACATGGGTGATTGGGTTTGTTGATGAAACGAGGAACTTTGTGGGGTAGCCATTTATTTTAATTGTCCTATATATACCATGTTGTATTTAATTTAAAGAAAGAATTAATAAACGATGCAAGTGTTAGACTTTGGCTTTTCTTCTTCCTGTGTGACGCCGTCTATTCGATCTTTTCTTTAATGGAAGATCTTATAAAGGAATTCCATTCAATGAGATGAAGCTATTACTATTCAGGGCCGCCGCTTAAGCTACCTGTCCAACACAAGTTTCTTAAGCTGTCTACACTCTACATCCATTGCTTACGTTACCCTTTCAGGGAATATTAGTATTATTAAATTTCCAATTGTGACAACTGTTCCCCCACCTCCAGACTCCAGTAGTGATTTTGGATCGTGAATATAATTTATTCTGAGGCTCAAACTGTAACACATTGATTATATATAAATTTCCCTCCTTTTTTTTCCTTCTTCTGTTTAGGCTGTATTAGTTGCGATGCAAATGTAATTAAAATATTAAATACAAGGTTTTAAAAACTGACCTGGTAGCTACCGGTTTCTGGGTTAGCAATTCAATTGTTCGAGTCGAACGGTTTGGATGGTTTACATATTAGGGGAAATGTTTATATGAAATTTGTCCTAATATGCAAATCTCATATAAGAAAGAAGAGATGTCGGCTGAGAAAGCCAGAAAGTAAAAGGAGAAAGGAGAATTGTTGCCGGATGAGAAAGAAAAAAAGAAAGAAGAAGGAAGGAGAAAAGGAGGGAAGAAAAAGGAAGAGGAGGAGGATGATTGGATGCTCATCGATGACGGCAACAACAGATGCAGATCTGAGATCTGAGTTCTTGGATCTCAGATTTGAGATCGATTTCTCTAAAACACCGATAGAAGAAAGTCTTCTTCTTCTTCTTCTTCTCTTTGTGCTAGATCCCATATCTGAGTTCGTGTCTCAGACTGGACCTCAGATCTAAGTTTTCCTGCAACTTTATATTGTGAACCGTTGGTCAAGTCAAACAAGTCAACAGTTCGACCGCCCGGGTGAGCGGTTTTTTGACAAAGTCAATGGGTTTTGACCCAATAATGGGTTAGGATGAAACGGAACTGATTGTCCAAATGATTTCCGGGCCGAATGGTCCGACCATAGGTCAATGACGGTTCAAAAATATTGATTAAATATGTACTTTGTAGTTAATGTTTTCTTTTCAGTTTAAGAGTGTAAAGTGGGTTCTTAATTAACCCGTTTTTTATATTTTTCCTATTTGTTTGAAATCGATATAAAGCATGAACCTCATCATTAAATGCCTTAAACTTTTGATCAAATGCACCAATTATCAAAAGAGTATAAATTTAAATCCAAAAAATGGGTAAAATAATGTTCTTTCCTCATAATACAAAAATGTCAGAAAAACACATTTTTAACCTCTTAACTAAATACATAAGTAGATTTGTTCATGGGCCGGGCCGGGCTTTCACTTGCCACTAATGAAAATATACTAGGCTCGAGCCCGAGCCCGAGCCTGGCCCGACCGACAGGCCTATAACTTGGGTCCGAGCCCTGCCCTAGTAAAAAGCCCCAAACCCGAGCCCGAGCCCAAAGCCCGACCTAATTGAAAAAAAAAAACAATTTTCCTTATTCAAATTAGAATTAAAAATTTAGATAGTATTTTTTTTTCTATTTAAATGAACAATGGGCCTACAAGATGGTATATTTTTCCCTTTCTTTTATATTTTAAAACACAATTTTACATTCTTAAATCAAAAAAATTATTTAAATGGACATAATCACATAACTAATTTTAAGTTTAATATTAGGTCGGGCTGGGCCGGGCTATTTTGACAAAACCCGAGCCCAGCTCGAATTTATTGCAGGCCGGGCTTTTTGGCCCGAATTTA